GGACTATTGCAATGCTCTCTATAGCAATGCAGGGCTTCCAGCCACTTCTATCAAACCTTCTATGACCTGCCTAACTCAATCCGAGCAGCTGAGTCCTTAGCCATCTTCAAGAAACGACTAAACACACTTCTGTTCCACCTTTATTTGACCCTCTGACTCTAGCACTTTCTATTCTACTTTATCTACATTTATCTTCTTTTTTTATAAAAAAAAAATTATTTATATTTTTCTATTCTATTTTTACTATTCTATCTACTTGTTTTTCTTTGTGTGTGTGTGTGTACTGCGTTAGGCTAACCGAGACTTCGTTTCGGAAGTCATTTGCACTTATATATTGTTGCTCTTTTGTTAGTTTTGACTGCTTTTATTGTCCTCATTCCTTTGGATAAAAGCGTCTGCTAAATGACTAAATGTAAATGTAAAAACCAACCAAACAAACAAACAAACATCTTTTTTCCATTTTCAATAAAAATATGACCAAATGTGGAGTATGCAACATAAAAGTATTGTAAAAATATCACAAATTATTGCAAATATCATGAAACATTATTACATATTCAAATATGCTGATTTGATCTTCACCACATGGCATATTAAAACAAAACAGAAACAAACCTTGCCTTGTTATTAACTGTGCAACATATCAGATATTATAAATCTCCATGGGTATGTTGTTTGTGTTGGTTGCATCATGACTTTCATGGTCACACCTCATGAGTTTCATTTAGCAGAGAAAAAAAATCTTATATTTATTTTTTAATATAAATATTAATAAGCATTGATTTTTTTAGAAACATTATTTTCCCTAAGGAATTATTATACACAAATTATTTTAGCTTTTCTTTTCAAAAAATGTCTTTTAATTACATTTATCTTTATTGTGATTTCAGGGCAGCTGTATCACTCTGATATTTGTGACTTTATACCCCTCCAAAAATAGTAAAATAATTCAGATGTTAAAAACAAACTTCTTATATTTGTGTCATCTCATCTATTCTATCTCTTCCTGTCATATTTTGCACATGCACGCATGCACGCACACACACACACACACACACACTTTAAACTCCTTAGTTTGTGTTTTCATACATATTCTGCTCTAAATATCCATTCCATTCTACTGAAATCTAATTTAAATACGAACTTTAAAGTCGAACACATTCACAAATAAAAACACCATAATTCTGTTATTATTGACTTCAGAGGGAGGAAAACAGCCCAGAATAGCAGGCACAGAAGCGCACGAGGCTGCCGTCACGATTGTGGAACTGAGTTTCAAGCTCTTTAAATTGAGAAATGGATCATTGGCTTTGAGACTGTGTGTGATACACCTACAGCACTGAGAGCATGAGCTCTTCATGGTTTGGCTTGTTGGGTTTGTCTCTCTAGAGCCTCACAAACATGATGCACAGGAGAGGATACAATTAGTGCAAACTAGGTTAAAATACTGTGATGTGGGTGTTTGGAGACCAATTAAAAAGTTTAAAGCAGCTGGAGATATTAACTTCAGCAGCACTGATGAGCATTCAGGGTGTAAAGAAAACATTCTGTAGCAAGGAATTTCTAGACATACACTACAGTTCAAAAGTTTGGGGTCAGTATGATTGTTTTTTAAGAGATTAATAATATCATTTAGCAAGGATGGAATTAATTGATTTAGCACTGTTAAAAAAAACTATTTTAAATAAATGCTGTTCTTTCCAACCTTCTATTCATTAAAGAATCCTGAAAAAAATGTATCATGATTTCCACAAAAAATATTAAGCAGCACAACTGTTTTCAACTTTGATAATAATAAGAAAAATGCTTCTTGAGCACCAAATCAGAATATTAGAATGATTTCCGAAGGACCATGTGGCACTGAAGACTGGAGTAATGATACTGAAAATTCAGCTTTGCCATCACAGGAATAAATTGCATTTTAAAATATATTAAAATACAAAACATCTATTCTAAATTGCAACATTTCACAATATCAAATAAGTGCAACCTTAGAGAGAATCTTTCAAAAACATTAAGAAACTGTACCGCCCCCAAACCTTCGAACAGAAGTATATATTTAGTGTTTTGTTTTTTCGGCTGGGTTATGTGGGCTCACCTGTCCACGTTTGGGTGACAGAGAGGTCTGCTGTCGTGGGGAGACAGGTAACTGCAGGAAGCCGACCCACCCACCACACGCATCCTAAACAGTTCAGTAGTCTGTGGAAGGCAAAATAAAGCTACTCATCACAAATGTAACACCAATTTATTGATACCGTCCATTTGTAGCTTCATTTAACTACAAGTCATTATATGGAAAAGAACTGCATAAAGATTCTTCAAAAACTCTAATTTAGTGTTCCATAGAAAAAAATAACAGCATTCAGGTTTGGAATGGCATAAGGGTGTGAACAGTGGTGCTAGAAAGTTTGTGAACCCTTAAAATGTTCTGCTTTTCTGAATAAATTTGACCTACGCTACCATTCAAAAGTTTAGGGTCAGTAAGTTTTTTCTTTAATATAATACTTTTATTCAACGAGGATGCATTAAATTGATCAAAAGTGACAGACATTAAAGACTTTTACATTGTTACAAAAAATGCCACTTTCTATTAAAGAATCCTGAAAAAAATGGAGCACAGTTTCCACAGACATATTAAGCAGTACAAATGTTTCTTTGGAGAAAAAAAAAAAAAAAAGTACTAACCCAAACTTTTGAACAGTAGTGCGCATATATCAGATCTTCATCTGATAATGTTGATTTAAGAGTGAAACTTTGCCTTCAGAATCTGGTTTGACCACCTTGAGTGACAATAATGGCAATCAAATGTTTTCTGTAACTGGCCATCAGACCTATTTGTGTGTTAAGGTCATTGTCTTGTTGCAGGACCCACTTTCTGTTGAGCTTCACCCTAAAACACAGGATTCATCGTTCCATCAATGATGCCAAGCCCAGAGACAACAAATCAGCCCCAAACAATAATAATGCCACCATCAGCTTTATAGTTGGAATGAGGGTAATATTATTGAATGCACTGTTTTGGTTTCCCCCACATGTAATGCTTCTTCTCATTTAAACCTGTGGTTATATTTAGGCTGTCCACAAGACATTCTTCCAATAGTCTTCTGGCTCACCCACGTGGTCTTTGGCAAACTTTAGATGAGTAGCAATATTCTTCTTGGAGAGCAGTGGCTTCCTCATTACTGTGCTGGCATGCATGGCAGATCCTTAGATGTTACCCTTGGGCCCTTCCTCCAGTATTACTTGTCTTGCTCCTGGAATCATTTTTTGTTAAACAACCACTCAAAGGTAAAGTAATATTGTAGCTGAGCTTCTTCCACTTGTATACTTGTAAGGTCCACGCACTTGGCCCAAGGAAGGTATCCAGTGGTGGATGAAGGTTACTTGCGTGTTCAGTCTTTTCAGCGCGTAGAGTTATTCAATTTAGGTTTAACTAAAATCTGACTCCATTTTAGTATGACCTCGAATTTAGGTTGAAAGGCAAATTGGTTGTTTGTCGGTCTCTAATTATTCTGACATTTGATTATTCTAGTTAACTCTTTACTT